CACACACACACACACACACACACACACACACACATGGGCCTGGCTGTTACCTGCAGCCTAGCCCAGATCCTCTGCTCACTCACGTGGGAACAGGAAGCACACCCAGACCTGCGGAACCAGGCTGCTTGGAACACAGGAAGTGGACAGACCTCAGCAGCGGGGTCTTTGGCAGACTTCCTGCCCCTGCTCAGAACCCTCATGGCCCTGGAGTGGGGTATAGCACGGGGTGTACTCCACAAGGTTCATGGTGGCTGCAGCCCAGACCCTGGTTCCCCGCAAGGCCTGGTGAAGTCCTGCTGCAGGCTGAGCCCATCTTGAGCCCCCTCCTGCAGCCCCACGCTCCATCTGCAATGCTTTCACTCCTCTTCCGGCAGCACCAACTTAGGCCCGAGATCATGCGATGGGTGGCAGACTGGGACCTCACAGGCCTGGGAAGGAGTTTCAGGGAGATAATAAATGCATTGTTCCTGGTTGAATTGTCCAGTTTGGGCCAGTTAACAAAATGCCATGGAATGGAACTTACAGAACAGAAATTCAGAACTGGGCATGGTGGTGCATGACTGTAATCCCAGCACTTGGGAGGCCGAGGCAGGAGGATCACAACAAGTTGGAGGCCAGCATGGGCTACATAGTGAATTCAAGGTCAGCATGAACTACAAAGCAAGACTTTGTCTCAAAAAACCAAAAGAACAGAAATTTATTTTATTTTCACAGTTCTAGAGGCTGGAAGTACAATATGCTGAGGGACAATCTCTTTCTCTTAGACCACAACTTTCATATTGATGGCCCTGCTGGGTGAGTATCCCACCCTTAGGACCTCATTCCTCCTTAATTTCCTTCCAAAAGCCCTACCTACAAACACACTCATGGGCTTTGGCAGATAAATTTGGGAGGATACCATTCAGTCCATAGCACTGGCTCAGGGCTGCAGGGGCTGGCTGAGGACTAAACCTGGCCCCGTTTAAGCAGTACTTTCTGCTTGGGATTTGGGAGATCGATAGTTCAAGAGGCCCAGGCCCAGAGCTGCAGGCCTGAGGTGATGTCAGGAGAGGGGTCTTTGGACCTCCCTGACCAAGGGCTGGGTCCTGGGGATATAGCCCTGTCCTACCATTTGTTTTCAGCAGCACTGGATCTATCCCACCCCAACAAGAAGGGGCAACTGTCTGCAGGCAGTAGCTGTGGTGAGGGTGGGGGCTGTTGTGGGCCATGGAGCACTGTGATGGTGAATAGTACGCCGAGGGGGGTGAGAGGTACCCCAAGGAGATTTTCTCTCTCACCTGATTCTGCCCAGATCCATTGCGCCACCAGAGAGCCACTTCCCTTCTTTGGGTCTGTTATGTCATCTATGAAAGAAGAACAGCCTCTGTGCTGCTCAGCCTACCTGCCTCTCATAAGGATCAAACTATATCCTACACCCAAGACGGCTCTAGGCTGCCAGAAAGTGAAGGGTAAACAGGAGGGTGTTAATTAGCATCGAGATTAGTTGGAGGGAAGGCACCAACTTGGGCTTCTCAATCACTGGGATAAAAATTAAAAATGGGAATAGGCTGCAGTCTGGCCCCGCTGTCTTACTGAGGACCCCACAGACACATGCAGTATCCCCAGAGTTCCATTTACTGCTGACGGGGACTCAGAACTTGTGGCCACCCACTTTCCTCCGATTCTCAGCGAGGGCCGCACACGTGTGGCCTCAGGAGTTACATCCATTCTCCTTTATTACGCCTGAAAACAAATGCTCTTAAGATGTAAAAGAGCAAGAGTCTGAAAGGCTCCTGCTGGAGGCAAGCTCCACAGGACAAACGCATCCTATGCAAATACAATTACCACCAAGAGTCCCTCTCCGGCTTAGCAGCTCCTTCTTGGTCTCCCCTACAGCCAGGAGCTGGGACAGGGCACCCCTATTTGAAGACAGAGGGGACAAAGGCCCCAAAGTCAAGCTGAATTTGCTCTTTGTGAGGTCTTCTGCCTTGGCACTGCCTGCAGCCCACAGCCTGTTCCAGCTGCCAGGGTTCCTCTGCCTTGTCCCAGCTCCAGGCCTCCAGCTAGGCAGCTGCTAGGAGAGCAGCAACGCTTCATGTAAAGGGGCCCTGCTTCTTTGTCCCTAAGCAATTTCCGGGGTGGGGGTCACACACCTTTTGTGAAGCCTGGGAGGGTACAGAAGCTCCAGAGCTGGGAAGGAAGCCAGTTCTGGCTGCAGAGAAGACGGGCGCCCTCTAGTGGCAGCCTAGCCCTTCCAGGGAGAGGTGCGGAAGCTATTTGATTTGATTCACAAAGCTGGCACTCAGGACCCTGCCAGAAGCCTGCAGCCACCTGGAGAACGTGGTGCTTGGTTTTTGTCCAAACACCCAGGCCCTGAGCAATTGCGGAGATGGAAGCCTTCAAATTCAAAGCCAAGTAGTGATACAGACTATGCCTAGCAGTGTCCTGGTTTAAAGCACCCGCAGGAAGGTAAGCAATAAGGGACCCTAAAGCCCTGCACAGCAGGTGTGTGCGTGTGTGTGTGTGACACGACACAAACAGCACCCTCACCACCCCTGGGAAGAAGGTACCCAGCGCTTGACCCTTGGCATGGTTGCTCCATCTGTAGCCCCACCAACACCAGCCCTGCCCCAGGCAAAACCAAGCAGAGCCAAACCAGAAACAAATCCCCCCTTAGCTAAGAGCACCTCCACACAAGCCTGGCCCAAGTCCTCAAGGAGAGTGGAGAAATCACAAATGAAAATCTCCAGAGTGACCCACGCCCCTTGCATAAAGCCAGCTTGAAATCACCGGCTGCTGGCTGCACTCACATAGCACTATGCTGGACTTGAATTTGCAATCCTGCCTCAGCCTCCTGGAGTGCTGGAAGTACAGGTGTGCACCACCAAGCCCTGCTCACTCAGTGTCAGCAGCAGGGACATGCACAGAGGTACACTGTGGACCTGTGTGCAAGGCTCGGGAGAGGACACAGGGCCCGTTGAAGGATTCCTGGGACACCCTGGAATGCACATGTGTGCTCCTACAGCAGTGGCAGGAGCACACTCACAAGAAAGGGGTAAATTGGGTGTGGTGGCTCACGCCTGTAATCCCAGCACTCGGGAGGCTGAAGGAGGATCACTGTCACTGTGAGTTCAAAACCAGCCTGGGCTACATAGTGAGTTCCAGGTCAGTCTCAACTACATAGTGAGACCCTGTCTCAAAAAACCAAAAAAAAAAA